AAGAGTCAATGTGAGTGTGAGAGTGTGTGAGTGTTCCCATGTGCACATGTGTGTGTGTGTGTGTGTGGAAGGTGACTCAATGGTTTGTGTTTTTTCCGCTTTTCCTTTCTTGTCTTGGAAAACTGCGCTCTTCTTGTAATGAGCCTGGCGAATGGAAAATGGAGAACGCTGATGAGCTGCGTCTTAACTAACCAAAATGGCGCGAAGGGGGCGGGGGGGGTTTTTTGAGGATGAACAGGTGGGCGTAGAGCAGGGGCGGGGCTAAAAAAAACACGGGGGAGGGGGGCGACAGTCCTCACTAGGAATCGCTTAAAAGCAAATTGCGCTGAAAAGCAATCAGCGCATAAGTGCAATACAAATACAAACAAGTTTATTGCTTTTCCCGTTGTCCTCGCGGTCTTTCCGGTCAGGATGCCTTCTAAACGGAGGCGGCGGGCAGGGGGGGGGGCGCCTCCAGGGGGATTGCATAACGAAATGAGATGCCTGAATGGAAGCAGTGTGTCCAAAGCGTTCGAAGTGGCGCACTATTTACTGGCATGATATATGTCGGTTATTAGATCCGATGTGCAGCATCTTCGCTCTCGAAGATTTAGCGTGGCAAATTCAAATTTAATGCGGGTAGCTCGGTGGCCAGCAAATTTATGGATTCCACTTGGCTAAAAGCCTGAACGATGGTGGACCTGGACCACCCCCCCCACTAGTGTCACAAAATGGGCAGGCGCATTGATAGATTGTGCCACGGATGGACGGCAAATGGATAAACAGATGGAGTACACGGAAAGGAAGCACTAAAACCCATTATGATTAAAGTAGCTTTCAATATAAAAGGATTTTTACTATTACTTAGTAAACCAAAATTAGGTTAAAATAAAAAATTGTTATAGATTCTTTTTTTGGTATTTTAATAACCCTTTTTCAAAAATACTTGAAAAAAACCTTATCCATTTTGTATTACATTTCGGTTTTTTGTAGTGGATTTTCTATTCTTGACTTTTAGGTAATCCTTTTTTTTATTTAATTCCAAAATGTATTTTTTTTTTAGTAAGGCCTTTTTTAGGCATTTGGTATTTTCGGTATTTTTAACGAATATTTAACGAAAAATGTAAAACATTTTCTAAAATACTTGTTTTCATTGAAAATCTGTTTTTTATACTTTTTAAATTTGGAGAATCATTTCTTATTACCTCAAATTTTTTAAGAGCACTTTCAATGAAAGCAACAGTTTTTTTCAGTGCCAGCCATCATGTAGCTTAAATGCATTTGTAATGACCAATTATTTCGCAAAGCGGAGTCCTGATGGAATGTCAAATCCGGAATTCAGTATCCAGTAGCCAGTTGCCGTAATCCACCGCCCTAAACCCAAACAGAGACCATAATCGGGGGCAATCAAATCGTGGATTGCAACGCATAACATAACACATTACGGCGGAGGACGACAAGCCGAAAACAAGGCGGGGAACACAGGAGCATTAAGTCCTCATCACTCCAAGGACTCCGGCTCCATGTTGTATATCCGTATATCCCTATAGCCGTATAGCCATATAGCCTGTCCAAAAACAAACTGTCGACACCTGCCATGAGTGATCACCGCTCGCGGCTCGCATTACAATGCAAATAAGTCGGGGAGGTCGGGGTTTTCGGGGCTCAGAGGTTGGTAGGTTGAAAGTTGGAGGGTTATTGCCCATATGGCCGCCGGAGTTGGCAACTCGTAACCCACTCGACGGAACGAAATATATACGGCAAACACATTTAGCCCGTAATGGACTTTTTTTATGGCATTTATAAGCGCGCGCCAAACAACGTTTCCCTGGGAGACAGACAGATAGACAGACATTCAGACAGACTTGGCTCGCAGTGAAAAGGAAAAGGTAATGCTGCCGGCAAGTGGCTGGTTCGAAATAGGAGATCGAAATAAATTAAACTAGCATTGAGGGCCTAGGAAATGCGTGCACCTGTATGAAATATTCAAGTACAATCAACCGGGAGCCATTGAGGAAACACACTTCCGTTGAATATTTCAGCGATTTTTACTCGCATGCGGACTTTATGTTGGATTTTCTAGGGTTTAAAGGGGTTTGCTTCGGACTATCTGGTCCGTTTTCATTGAATATTTTATAATGAAATATTCCCTTTGTTATAAGCTGCCTTAAGTGGCTCAAGCAATAATTGCTATGCGTGTTTGGAAAGAAGTATTTATATCAAACTTTCACATTCTATATATTTATTTTTAAGGATAGAACAATTTCCTGTTCGATTAAAGGAAGACGGGTATCTCCGAACACAACTTCACTTGCATCTGTGTCTATTTTAAATTCACATTACTATTCCATTTCCGGGAGTAGACATACCCCACAGTCAATAGCTCTCTATGGCAAGGTTTTCACGAAGGTTCCGGTTCTTGTATCTGTTTATGCCTACACAGCAAGAAAAAAAACAAATCAATATCATCTAGATAATATAATATTTAAGGGAGTTGGGGATAGGTTTCTAGTAGTGAGAATGAAAGAATATGAATTATGTTAAACTTAGGATACGTTAATCCTCAGTTATATTTATAACAAATACTTGAGAATTTGGGATGGTTTTCTTAAAGTGAGAATGATAGAATATGATTAGTTAATCCTTAGTTATATGTTGTATTAAAATAATGGTTCTGACAAGGCTTAAAAATATTTAAATTATATGTCTCTCTCCAAAATAAATCTAAAAAAATTATAATATACAATTTTGTTAGTATCTGTTTTGAAAATATTAATTTATTACTTGATTTTTCCCTTTCCTATGAAATTACCCTAGTTGTAGAGGTTACAAACATAATATAGCTATCCAAACTTGTTGCTATAAGTGCCCCCCTTTTTTCTTCGCGTGCACCTTCTTTCCTGGTGGATCCAATAAAATGTGCGAAAAAGTTGATGCGCGGCTCGCGATTGCCATTTATTTTTATTGCCGCACTTACCTGCTACTTAGCGCCTCCCGCCCCCTTTTCGAGAGTACGTGGGCGTGGCCGCTCACTAGACAGGCGACACAGAAAAGTTTTGAGCTTGAGTTTGAGTTTTGACTTTTGCCCGGTGCGTTCCACCTTCTATATAGTACAAGATATATATGTATTTGGATGGGTGGGCCAATGTGCGACTGGCACTTTAATCAGCCATGCCAGCTGCTCCTTTGCCGATTTTCCAGCTTTTCCTGGGAGAGAAAAGCGGGCAGGTGCCGCCGGTTGGCCAAGAAACCAGGAGCCAGCTGCCAGAGAGCGGGAAAATGCCAAGTGCCAGAAGGAAATTCGCACATAACACTTCCCAGAGGCCATAAAGTCGCGCATATTTATAAGCCGCGTCTGTCTTTCGATTTCCATCTAGGATACGCTGCTTTATGCCAGCTTTTTATGGCATATATGCTATGTACATATATCGATGGGGACTGGGACCAAACAAAATATATACAGCCCCCCAAACCGTTTGCACTCCATATGACAGACCACCCACTTCAATTGACATCTTGCAACCTTTCAGATAGCCAAACATCTTTTTCGCATACATCCGTCAGCTGCCTCGCATTTGTTTCGCATTTTGCGTTTTATTGCGCAAAATTGAAGGCGTACTTTATGGCCGACTGGATTTTTTTGCATAAACAGAATTTATGCATATACAATATACACACGACTAGGGGGGTCGAGTAAAAAAAATAAACCAAAAAAAATTGACAAAAGACGTGACAAACTCTTCGACGAAATAAAAAAAAAAAAAGCGAAGGGAATGTAGAGCCCGGGCCGAGAGCAAAAGTTTATAATTTGCTTAGACGCGACCAAAAGTCTGCTGGAAGGACTGCTCCTCAGAGAATCGAGCTATAGCCATAGGATATATACTTGTAGCCGTAGCCTTTGCAGCTTAAACCAGATTAAATTATCGCATTTTTCCTTATATATTTTTATTTTGTCCTGCTGCCGCTGCTGATTCTGCTCCCTGTGCCATCCTTGATTCGATTTTTGCTAACCAAAAAGAGAGCAAAATACGAAAAAAAAAAAAAGAAAGCCTTATCCGTAGGCAGGCGAGAAAAGTTCGAATAAATTGAGTGAAAGTTCGCATTCGCCTTAAACATTTTGCCTTCTTCATTTTTTTTAGGCGACGGCACATGGCTTCAACTTGAAATTTTCTGCTCCCCATTGGCTCAGGTGTGAATGGCTTTCATTTTTCTTTATTTTTGAGGTATTTTCCGCAGGCTCTGAAAAATTCTTCAAATAAGTTTTCCACACAGGCAGCTCTGAGACCAAAACAAAAAAAATATGAAGTATATTTATTAGTGTCGATGGAAATTTGTTGGCCTGCCAGTTTGTAGATCGCAGATCAAACTTGGCTTACATGTTTTATTTTTCTTGCATTTTTGAGGGCTTGAAAATGTTTTCTACATTGGCTGCTAAATATTTAAAACAAATTTTTATGGGAAGCAATATTTAAAAAATATAAGATTGCATCTTTTGGTTTTTTAACCTATCTGCTCTTACAATTTTTAACCAAACACAATCGCTTGATAGAAGTTACTCCAAAAATGTGAGGTAAAATTTGCTTTTGTATAAACCACATAGCACATTTTCTGGGAATTTTAAATAGATATAGTTTCTTGTACAGATTTAGTTATAAATACCAAACCAGGGAGATGTTACACGTTTTTAAGGAAGAACCTTTAAGGCACTTTTTATTTAATAATACCCGTTTTTCAATTTAAATATTTCACAATGTTTTTTGCCTGCTGTTTTCAAACTAAATATATATTTTTTAAAGTTTAAAGGGAATATAAAATATTTGTAGTGATAACTGGCACTTGTTTCTTCCAGCTTCTGGCCGCTTTTTTAAATAAATTTCCTTTTCAATTGGGTTAGGCTTGGCAGCAACAGCCTGAGGACTTTAAAGGGCTCATCCTCATCCTCACACATACACGAACACACACACTCACACACACACACAGGCACACAGTCACCCACACAAGCGCACGAAAAGGACACTTACGTTTTGAGTTATTGGGGCAGGCCCAAAAAAGTATGCTAAGCTTTTCTCGCCTTCGCTGTGCAGCTGCAACTTCAAACTACGAACTGCAATCAACTGGAATTCACTTTTCCGCCAGCCGTCTCACTTTTCATTGTTTACGTTTCACTTGTGAATACCCGCTGTACTTTCTTTGTTTTCGTGTTTTTGTTGTCAATTGAGGGGAACCCCCAAAAAAATATATATATGTAAAAAACAACGACAACAGCACTCTTTTCACACACTCAACCGAAAAAACAACAAACAAACAACAGATGCAATTGGCGGCGGCACGCGTTTTTCCGACGCGACGCGACGCGTTTTCAATTTTTCGGATGGGGGAGGGGGGTTTTGGTTTATTTTTGGGGGGGTCGAGGGGGGCGGTAGGCGGTACAGGACGAGCCAGCCACAATTGCAATTGGCGATCGCGATCGCGACCGTAGAATCGCCTTTTCAGCGATTTATCTTTAGCGATTCGAGTTTAGGAGATTCGAGTTTTGGAGATTTGGAGTTGTAGAGATTCGAGTTCGAGTCTGAGTTTGAGGCGAATGCGAATGCGATCCGAAACGAATCGGAATCGGTATCGAATCGAATCGAATCGAGTCAAATCCAGTGATTATCCGTCCTCAGTCGCGTGGCACAAACCGCTGCGTTCGATAACCTAAACGAAACTGAATCGCCGAGCACTCAAAGCTCGGCCGCTCGGCAGCTCGAAACTGGAAACTCGGCCAACGATTCGTGTCGTTTCGTGTCCGTTTCTCGGCCCCTTAAGTTCCACACGCACACACACCTTCTCGCAGGACACACGAGGTCGGTGTGTGTGTGCGTGCCCTCGGCTCGGTTGCCCCACTTCCGTTTCCCGCTCCGGCCAACTTAACCACACTTCGTGTGTGGCACTTCCGGTCGATGCGCAGGCGCGAACTAGCATCTGTGGATACCGACTGTGGACTGTGTGTGCACGGGAGATGAGCAACGTTTCGATAACAGCCGCCGGCGAAAAGGGGTCAAACCACCCCCAAAACCCCTAGACTATGGTTTTTGTTAAGTAGCCCAAAAAAAAACAAAAATCTGAATCTCATATTTTTGACAAAAATCGTTAGTCCATTTTTCGCATTAAGAACTCAGTTTTTTGGCTGCTTTAAAGAAACTAATTGTCAGATCGTGGAATGTCATACCTCGTTGAGCTTGTTGCTTAATTTCCAATCCATTGGCATTCAAGCCTGAACATTTTTTACTTTTCACATTTTTTGCCAAAAATTCGAAAATTGGTAAAAAAATAAATTTCCCTTAAATTGATTGGGATCGTTAGCATATTTAGCAAGCTGTTCAAAACAGTCGGTCTCTTACCTGTACGTCTTGATTAGACCAAACTACGATTGAAAAACTGGAAAGAAAAATCGCATTTTTGGCATTCTAACCTGAAAATTTTTCATTTTTTGCCATTTTTCGAAAATAAGTGATGCAACCCCTACAAAAAATGAGAAAATTGGTCAAAAAATAAATTTTCCTAAAAATGATGAGGATCGTTAGCATTTTAAGCAAGCTGCTCAAAACAGTCGGTCTTTTAGCTTTACGCCTTAATTTGGCTAAGCTACGATGTAAAAACCGAAAAAAAATATCGCATTTTTGACAAATATCTGAATTTCGTATTTTTGACAAAAATTTGAACCCTTTTTTTCGACATAAAAATTCAGTTTTTTGGCTGCCAAAACAAAAATATAAGTCAGAATGAGGAATGTCATACCTCGTTGAGCTTGTTGTTTAATTTCCAATCGATTGGCATTCTAACCTGAAAATTTTTCATTTTTTGCCATTTTTCGAAAATAAGTGATGCAACCCCTACAAAAAATGACAAAATTGGTCAAAAAATAAATTTTCCTTAAAGTGATGAGGATCGTTAGCATTTTAAGCAAGCTGTTCAAAACAGTCAGTCTTTTAGCTGTAAGCCTTAAATTGGCTAAGCTACGATGTAAAAACCGAAAAAAAATGTCGCATTTTTGACAAAAATCTGAGTTTCGTATTTTTGACAAAAATTTGAATTCTATTTTTCGACATAAAAATTCAGTTTTTTGGCTGCCAAAACAAAAGTATTTGTCAGAATGAGGAATGTCATACCTCGCTGAGTTCGTTGCTTAATTTCCAATCGATTGGCATTCTAACCTGAAAATTTTTCATTTTTTGCCATTTTTCGAAAAAAAGTGATGCAACCCCAACAAAAAATGAGAAAATTGGTCAAAAAATAAATTTTCCTAAAAATTATGAGGATCGTTAGCATTTTAAGCAGGCTGCTCAAAACAGTCGGTATTTTAACTGTACGCCTTAATTTGGCTGAGCTACGATGTAAAAACCGAAAAAAAATATCGCATTTTTGACAAAAATCTGAATTTCGTATTTTTGACAAAAATTTGAACCTATTTTTTCGACATAAAAATTCAGTTTTTTGGCTGCCAAAACAAAAATATAAGTCAGAATGCGGAATGTCATACCCCGCTGAGCTCGTTGCTTAATTTCCAATCGATTGGCATTCTAACCTGAAAATTTTTCATTTTTTATCATTTTTCGAAAATAAGTGATGCAACCCCTACAAAAAATGAGAAAATTGGTCAAAAAATAAATTTTCCTTAAAGTGATGAGGATCGTTAGCATTTTAAGCAAGCTGTTCAAAACAGTCAGTCTTTTAGCTGTAAGCCTTAAATTGGCTAAGCTACGATGTAAAAACCGAAAAAAAATGTCGCATTTTTGACAAAAATCTGAGTTTCGTATTTTTGACAAAAATTTGAATTCTATTTTTCGACATAAAAATTCAGTTTTTTGGCTGCCAAAACAAAAGTATTTGTCAGAATGAGGAATGTCATACCTCGCTGAGTTCGTTGCTTAATTTCCAATCGATTGGCATTCTAACCTGAAAATTTTTCATTTTTTGCCATTTTTCGAAAAAAAGTGATGCAACCCCAACAAAAAATGAGAAAATTGGTCAAAAAATAAATATTCCTTAAAGTGATGAGGATCGTTAGCATTTTTAGCAAGCTGCTCAAAACAGTCGGTCTTTTAGATGTACGCCTTGATTTGGCTAAGCTACGATGTAAAAACCGAAAAAAAATTCTCATTTTTGACAAAAATTTGAATTTTGTATTTTTGGCAAAAATTTTAACCCATTTTTTCGACATACAAATGCAGTTTTTTGGCTGCCAAAACAAAAGTATAAGTCAGATTGAGGAATGTCATACCTCGCTGAGCTCGTTGCTTAATTTCCAATCAATTGGCATTCTAACCTGAAAATTTTTCATTTTTTGCCATTTTTCGAAAAAAAGTGATGCAACCCCTACAAAAAATGATAAAATTGGTCAAAAAATAAAATTTCTTCAAAATGATGAGGATTGCTTGCAAATGTAGCAAGCTGCTCAAAACAGTCGCTCTTTTAGCTGTGCGCCTTGATATTAATAAGATTCGATTAAAAAACCTCTGCAAACATGAGAATTTTGACCAAAAAATCCTTTTCGAACTGTTTTTTACAGTTCATGGGTTCTTTGAGAGGCCGCAGATTATTGAGGTTCACCCACTCGTTATCGAAGGGGAGGGGCATCACTGGCGGGTCCTGAGTGGACTCCATTGGGGTCCTGCAGCTCGGGCGGCGCCTCCGAGTGACAGTCGTGGCCGAGAGGCTGGCAGCGCTGCCTCTGCAGGCGAGGCACGAAGGGTCCTGCGAGGAGTCCTGCTGCTGCTGCTAATGCTGCTGCTGCTCATGCTGCGTGCTGCGTGCTGCATGTTGCATGTACGCCTGCTGCTGATGCTGCCAAACGGACAAGTTCAAGGGAATTTCGCGCGACAAATAAATTACACACGCACCGCCAGCGAGTGCAATGCAAATTAAGATGGCAGCCGCAGGTTCAGCTGGCATTCCCTCAACTTCAACTCCAGATACTCGAGCCATTCGAACCCGGCCAGTTTGTCACCCCGCCCCCAGATCCCCTTTCGTCCTTCACCTTTGAACAGAGAGAAACCCAAATGAACCCACTCTGTCATCACTTTTTGTTAGGTCCTCTACAGCATTTGTAACATTATTTGTATCTTGACTTTAAAAAGAAATAGCTAATCCCTAAACGTGTTTAATTGATTAATGTGTACCTTATTTCTAAATTTCAAAGCAATTATGTAACTCACAAGTAATTTTTATCTAGGAATGCTAAACTATTTATTAGTAGCGTAGTTATTCAAAATATATATTACTATAAGAATTTTCAATACATTTTCTTCAACTCATATATTGATTAAATCTTTGCTAACAATAATATAATATATATTTGCTAACAATATTTTACAATTTTTTGTTAAGCAATATTATGTATTTTCATGGGGTTTCTATTATAAAAGACTTTGTGGTATATACCACCATTTTTTAAAATGATTTCTAAGAATTTGGTATTTTTTTACGAGTTTACAAGATATGTGACTGAATGTTGGTTGTTAAAAAAGAATATTTATGCAGTTTTAGAAAATCATTGGATTGCAAAACCATTTGTTAAAAAATAGTAATTCTTTTCTTAAGGGCTTGAGTGTACATATATGAAATTTTATATATAGATCACAATTTATTTTTATTAATGGGAAGATAATTATGGATTAGTCATAGTAAAAAAGCAAATATAAAGGAATGAATATTTTCAAATTTATTTTAATGTTTATTTTAATAGGGCGTATACCGTGCCCTAGTTGTTTCCAGTGCACCGCTTTCAGGTTGTTTTCCCTGCGCGTTGCACTTTGCTGACTTTGCTTTACTTTTGCTCTGACTTGCCACTCGGATTCGAATTCCTTGGCTGGTGCTGGTGGCGGGGGAAAATCTCTTATGGCTGCTCACTTGAACGGTTTTCCCCGTTGTCGCTGTTGTTGTTGTTGTTGCTGCTGATGTTTTTTGACTGGTTTTCCCTGGCTTTTCCCTATTTTCGCTGGCAGCTCTAAGCCCTTTGCACTCACTTCGCTCGGTTTGCGCATCGTCGAGCAGCATCAAGTTGATTTTCGACCACCCACTCAGCCCCGCCGAAAGTTGTCATTAAAAAATTGCACTCAGCGAGCCAAAAGGCGCTGCAACTCTGTTGCATGCAGGTGGGCAAAAGGTGGGCCAAAGTTGCAGGTTGCGTGATGAGGGGGGCTGAAAAACATCAAGGCTGCCTTGGAGAAAACTTTCTGCATTTATGCGAAATGCCGCAGCAGGCTGCAATGAATTCACCCGCCTTCTGGCCACAAAAGTCCTCTGTCTTGGGGGGTTTACAGCCCCCTGCAAACCCACCCCCCTTTGCAAACCGACAGGCAAATCGCAACAGTCCCCTCTATGAGCCATTAAGGTCTCATTTAAATCAAGAGCCGTCTGCTAAGCGTCCGCCATCAAGTTTATTATATAGTTTCGCCTTCGACAACCACGCATTTTCCTTCCCCTTACCCATAGAGGCATAAGTATATATATATATATATATATTTTATATTTTTATCCCTATATATATTTGATGCCCTTCTACCACGCACAGTCACACACATGCCCCTGAACTTTTGTATCCCCTGTGGAACCTGTTCTTCAATAAGCAAAATACTTGTATTTCGAGGCTTTTACAAAAATGAAAACATTAATTTTAAAATTTCCGAATGTATAGGCCGCCTCACTTGT